CATATCATCACAGCAAAAGCTGGTATTTTGAGGGGTTATTGTTACTGAATGTGGGTTAAGTCCTGGCAGAAGATAATCTGGATGTTCTTTTGGGCAGTTTCTTAGCTAATGCCAAAGTCTCCAAGAAATTCTGATTGAAGAAATGAGTGCAACATGAATGTATTTTAGAAAAGAAAATATAAAATTTTTTTCATTATAGTTTGTAAATATATTTATAACCCTAAAAATAAAAAGAAGAGGTAAACATTCATTTTCTCACAGTATAATTTCTTTCAGGCTTTGAGCCTTTAGACCTGCAAAAATTTACAACTGAACTAACATCTTTAATGTGTGAACTTTGAATCATCTGAAGACATAACACATGCTCCAGATAAAGGCGCTCAGAGACAACATGTCATTTTGAAGACTTTCCCCATGAATAACATTACTGACACATGCTCTGACAGTCTGCCAGATGTTTTTATTTTCAAATGGAAGGGAATCCATCTGGTACCCAGAGAAGATAGTCTCAGCTCACTGAATTTCATTCCAGTGGAAACCTACGTAAATTCAAAGAAAAATGGTAAATCTTTGATCACTACAGTAATCTTACACCTAAGTTATCAAGCATAGTTTTGGTTGAGAGAAATGTTCTCTCAGACATGAAAAGCTCTGTTAATTGGGGGTAACTAAAAGCATTCAGACATTTCTAATAGCCTATTGAGTAGGTGACACAGAAACCTGCCTTCATTTGGAGGCAGGTCACTAAAGTGTGGAGACTTACACAGTCATTGATTCATTCAAGAACTGTGGGACAGGTAAAGGGTTACGGGTTAGAAACAAAAAGGTCATGGTCCTTCTTTCCTCGAGATTATGGCCCTTCTCTCAGTTCAGTAGGGTAAATTAAGAGATTTCCTTTAAGAGATTTAGAGTAATATTGAGGAGATGGAAAGTCTACACAAAAAAAGATAAAGGGAAGGAGCACCTAACCTAGCTGGGTGCCCAAGGTGGCCTCTGAGACAAGGAATAGAGATTCATGCCACACAATTACTTATCAGTTAGTAAGTTTTGATGATAACAAGGTGGTATAATAAAGTTATACCCCCTTTCAGGTGATTCATTTGTTTTATCCATAATGATTTTCTCATCCCAAAATACACTGTATATATTCTAAGAAGTAGTGGTTTGAAATTATAGTTTCAGGCAAAGACACATATGTTTACTCAACATAAATTCTGTAGTCAACAAACATCAAATGAAACAAATTTGAATTGTGTACATGTTTAGAATAACCCAAAATATTTTTCTTTGTGTAAGCAAGATAAATGAGTGGGGTGAAAAATTTCAGATTTTCTATGACTTTTCATAAAAATGTGCACATGCATTTTTTCCTTGAGCTTCAAATTGCACCTGTGTTTTGCCTTTATTTGCTCTAAAAGTGATTTTTTCTATGCTACAATTTCACTTTTAAATATAATTTGAGTGCAAGATGACCATGAGTCATATTACATTTGAAAATCTGATGAGGAAAACAGTGTAGAAAAAAAGAATCTACAATCTAGGAATGATTGTCTCATACCCTCCCATCCCCAAAACTCACCATTAGTCTTCTCTTCCTCATTCAGTGCATACAATCAATTCCCAGTACATTTTATTTTACATACACAGTACATTTCTCTACTTTCAAGCTTCTATTTTGCATATGTAAGCTTAATTTTATTGTTTTATTGCTAAGTGTTTCTATCTATGGAAATTATTTGGATATCTTATGTTGAGATGGAATACATTATGATGTTTCACATTCAAATTAAATATTTTTTCAAACAACTTTTCAATTAGTAGCAGAATTTTCAAAAAAAAAGTTAAAGCTGCTAAGTAAAGGATCAGTGTACAAGTCTGAGTTAGATCATTGAGCATTCGTTGGACTAAGCCAGGAAAATAAAAAGTAGGTGAGTGTGGAGACATAGAATAGTGGGGAGAAAATGTAAGCAAGTCATGTCATCTCCAGGAAATATATGGAACAAAGAGTTAATGTTTTTATAAAAATGAGAAAGGAAGATTTGACCATTATTCCTAAGGGTATGATTTCAGAGTTTCAAGCACTGATTATCACTGAAGCTCAATCTTATAAAGATTATTTTTATAAGTAATAGGGTAAATAATTGCATTATAAAAATTTAAACATATACACATATAGGTTGAAACACAGAGGGAGAGAACATGTCCTAATGTCAATTATGAAAGCCTCATGTTCAGGATAAAATTTCTAGGAACAAATAAATAGATTCTACTTTTAGGCTAATATCACAAACAACTTAATTGTGATTAAAAATTATTTGCTCCTGGTAAACATTAGTTGGCTTCAAAATAGTTCCACAAATTATGAAGTCACTGATGCTGGACATTCACATAAATAAGATTATTTTAAGAAATGTGAGTGTAAGCCACTACTCCAGGGATTTAGTCATATACTACTCCACAGTATTTCTAGATTATTTTTATTCTATTTTATTTGATTCACTGTTAAATTCGTTTTTAAGTATATTGTGTTACTTATGCTATTAGAGTTTTTCCATTTTTTCTCCTTTGCCCCCATCAGCCCAGCCCTATGACACCCTCAAGCAATCTCCACACTGTTGTGTGTGTCCATGGGTCATTCACAGATGTTCTTTGGCTAATCCTTTCACCTTCTTTCATCCAAGTTCCCCCTCTTCCTACCCCTCTGACAGCTATCAGTTTGTTCCATGTTTTTATGGCTCTGATTGTATTTTGCTTGTTAGTTTATTTTGTTCATTAGATTCTACATTTAAGTGAGATCATATGGTATTTGTCTGTCATTGACTGACTTATTTCACCTATTATAATAATCTCCAGGTCCATCCATGCTGTTGAAAAATGTAAGATTTCCTTATTTTTTTACTGTTTTATAGTATTTCATATGTAAATGTACCAAAGCTTTTTTTATCCACTCACCTACAGATGGGCTTTGAGCTGTTTCCAGATATTGACTATTGTAATTAGTACTGCTATGAACATAGAGGTGCATATATCCTTTTGAATTGGTGTTTTAGGATTGTTAGAATATATTTCCAGAAATGGAATGGCTGGGTCAAAAGGGAATTCCACTCTAAATTTTTGGAGAAAACTCCATATTATTTTCCCCAGTGGCCACACCAGTCTGCATTCCCACCAACAATGCATGAGGGTTCTCTTTCCTTGGCATCCTCAACACTACTTGCTGTTGATTGATTTATTGATGATGGCCATTCTCACAGGTGCGAGATGATATCTTATTCTGGATTTAATTTGTATCTCTCTGATGGCTACTGATGCTGAGCATTTTTTATATCTACTGGCCATTTGTATGTCCTCTTAGAAAAGTGTCCATTCAGATCCTTTACCCATTTTTTAATTGGATGGTTAGTCTTTCCGGTTTTAAGTTATGTAAGTTTTTTATATATTTTGGAAATTAATTCCTTGCCATATATGTTATTAGCAAATATGTTCTCCCATACAGTGGGTTCCCCTTTTATTTTGATAATGGTTTATTAAGCTGTGCAAAAACTTTTTAATTTTATGTAGTCTCATTTTCTTACTTTTTCCTTTGTTTCCCTTGCCTTAGGAGATGTATGAGAAAAAATATTGGTATGCCAGACATCTGAAATTTTACTGCCTATGATTTATTCTAGGATTTTATAGTTTCAGTACTTACATTCAAGTCTTTTATACATTTTTAGTTTATCCTTGTTTATGTGTATCTTTTGCATGTACCAGTCCAGTTTTCCCAAATCCATTTATTGAAGAGACTGTCTCTACTCCATTGTATGTTCTTGCCTTCTTTGTCAAGTATGGATTGACCATAAAGGTGTGGATTTATTTTGGGGTCTCTGTTCTGGTCCACTGATCAATATGCCTGTTTTTATGCCAGTACCAAGCTGTCTTGATTACTGTGGCCTTAAAGTATACTTTGATATCAGGTATTGTGATATCTCCAATTTCGTTCTTCTCACTCAAAATTGCTGAGGCTATTCTGGGTCTTCTTTGGTTCCATATACATTTTTGGAACATTTGTTATAGATCTGTGAAATATTGCACTGGTAGTGCAATATTACAATAGTAATATTAAAATAGTAATTCCTATTTAATATTACTATTAAAATATTAACATTAAATAGTAATATTAAAATATTACTATTTTAATAGTAATCCATAGATTTCTTTGGATAGTGTGGGCATTTTAAGGGTATTAATGCTTCTAATCCATAAACAAGGTATATGTTTCCACTTATTTGTGTCTTCTTTAATTTCTTTCTTCAGTGTACTACAGTTTTCTGAGTACAAGTGTTTTACCTTCTTTGTTAAATTTACTCTTAAATACATTATTTTTTGTTGCAGTAGTAAATAGGTTTCTTAGTTTCTCTTTCTGATAGTTGATTATTGGTATATAAAAATGGCATTGATTTCTAAATATTGCTTTTCTAAACTGTTACTTTGCAGAATTTGTTTATTAAGTCTAGTACATTTTTGGTGGGGTTCATATGAACAATATATCATCTGCAAATATTTACAATTTTACTTTTTTCCAATTTGTATTCCTCTTATTTCTTCTTGTCTGATTGCTGTGGCTAGAACTTCCAATACTATGTAGAATAAGAGTGGTGACAGAAGACATCCCTGTCTCGTTCCAGATCTTGAGGGAGACATTTTTGTTTTCTGCCCTTTAAGTATGATGTTGGCTGTAAGTTTTTCATACATGGCCAATATTATGCTGAGGTGTGATCTTTCTATTCTATTTTGCTTAGACTTCATCATAAATGGGTACTGGATCTTATCAAATGCTTTTTTTGAATCTATTGATATGGTCATGTGATTTTTATCTTTCATTTTATTTGTGCGATGTATCACATTTGTTAATTTGCCAATATTGTACCACTGGGATAAATCCTGCTTGATCATGGTGCATTATATTTTTAATGTGTTGCCAGATCTGATTTGCTAATATTTGGAGGGGGTGGGGCCTCATGGAAGAGCTGCCCCAGGACATGCGGTGCCAGTTCACCCTGAAGCCCAGATGCCTGGCTGTGGCCCAGTCGCTGAGTCCCTTAGCTCAGAAGACCTTCCCAAGGAGAAGGTCTATCACCAAGTGGCTCTTTGGGCGAGGCCCTAGCACTCACCTGGATAACTTGCCCACCTCACCAACCTCTCCTGTGTCAGGACAGCTGTTTGGAGTGTCTCTGCCAAATCTCTGCAGGCATGACAATCTGCCCAAACCTGTCTGGGACATGCTTTTTTGTGTTCATCAGAAAGGACCCCTCACCAAAGGAATATTCAGACAGTCAGCCAGCATGAAATCTTGCAGAGAGCTGAAAGAAAAACTAGATTCCGGAGTCGAAGTCCACCTAGACCAGGAGTCTATTTTTGTGATAGCATCTGTTTTTAAAGATTTCCTAAAACATATTCCTGGGAGTATTTTGTCATCAGATCTCTTTGATCACTGGGTCTCTGTAATGGATGAAGAAAATGATGAACAGAAAATAAATAAAATTCAAAGACTGTTAGACCAGCTTCCAAGAGCCAATATTGTTCTCTTACGGTACCTTTTTGGAGTATTACACAACATCGAACAACATTCTTCATTCAATCAGATGACTGCGTTTAATTTAGCAGTGTGTATTGCTCCAAGCATGCTTTGGCCTCCAGCTTCCTTCAGCTTAGAACTAGAAAGTGAGTTTATAAAAAAGAATAATCTGCTTATTCAATTTCTGATTGAAAATTGCTGTAGGATATTTGGAGAGGAAATCACTTCCCTCTTTGGAGAATCTTCAGCGAGGCATGATACCACAGAGAGAGCCTCCGACACTCCTGGTGCAGAGGAGACTTCCATTCCCAACAGTGGGGAGACGATGCTGAGTGAGGATCTTGATGCTTCATGCAGTGACCTAGTGGAGAATCATGGTGAGGAGAGCAGAAGCACGGGCTGTGTGTTAACCATTCACTACAATCACCTTGATCAACCTGAGGTGGAAGATCTTTTAAGCCTGAGTGACATCGACTTGGACTTTTGTAAAGAAGAGGACATTGAAAAGCAATGGCCACTTGAATCCACACTGGTGGCCATTTCTATGGTATCTGGCAGTCACATGTCCCCACATGATTCCCCCAAGAACCGGCCCTTTGATCCTGAGATATCTGAACACCTCCCACTACAAACAGCAGTGGCCCTCCAGAGTTCCAGCGGATACCAGTGCTGCACGGAGCCCAACACTGACGACCAACCTGGGTACACTGAGCTATCTCAGGATGATATCTGCAAAGAACCAAACTAAAACTACCTGTATGCTGGTCACTTGTATGGAGAGGAGAATTATCTCGATTGTGGAAAAGAAGACACCCTCCAGTGTCGGTTACAAATACACCTGAAAGTCCTAAGCCCAGAATACAGTGGCCGATAGGTCTGACAAGGTTGAAAAACTGGTCCCTCAGAAAGAAAGAGAGGTGAGCAAGATGATATAAAAAGAACTTCAGGAGAAAAACCACAGTATTTCCTCTCCATGCCTCTGGTGTTCCAGAAGCCAACTCACTGAAGCGTAATCAGAAAGGCATCTGCCTAAGGGCAAAGCAAGAACATAGAGCAGTGCAGGCAGAGTGGTCAGAAGAGACTGAAGTTGAGGGAAATAGTAGAAGGCCTGGTCACCACAGAGGGAAGGTGTGGGAGGTGAGCAGAAGGACTTGTTGGAGAAGACAAAACATGTGAGAGTCAAGCAGGAGGCTTGGTCAGAGGATAAAGAAGGTGTGAGAGGAGAGCAGAAGGCCTGGTCAAGCAGACAAACGCAGTGAAAGAAAAATAGAAGGCCAGGTCATGACAGACAGAATTGTGAGAGTCTAGCAGAAGGCCAGGATGGAGGAGGGGGACAGTGTGTGAGTCAAGTAGGAGGCTCATTTGGTTGAAATGGAGGAGGAACCCAGCAGAAGAGCAGTTTAGAGCAAACAGAGGTATGGGAGGCAAGCGAAAAGCCTCATTGGAGGAGAGAAAAAATGTGAGATTAAGCAGGAAGCTTGGTCAGAGGACACAGAATGTGTGGGAGGACAGCAAAAAGTCTGGGGAGGCCAGAGCAAAGTTGTGAGAGACTAGCAGAAGGATCAGTAGGAGGAGATTAAATGTGTTCAAGGCAAGCAAAAGGCCTGGTTGGAAGAGACAGAAAGTGTGGGAGTAAAGCAGAAGGCTCAATTGGGAGATACAGAAGGTTTGGTGGAGGGGAACAGAAGGCCCTGTGGAAAAACAGAAATGGTGTCAGAGCCAAGCAGGAGACCACATCACAGGATATAGAAGGTGATGGAGTCCAGTAGGCAACCTGGTTGGAAGAGATGGAACTGTGTGAGTCAAGCAGGAGGCTCATTGGAGGTGACAGAGTTCATTGGAACTGAAAAGAATAGTTTGGAGCAGAAAGAAGGTGGGGGAGGTAAACAGAAGACCAAGTTTCAGCAGCTGAAAGGTGTGGGAGGCCAGAAGAAGACCAGTTTGGAGCAGACAGAAAGTAAGGGAGAAGAACAGAAGACCAGATCATAGCAGATGGAAGGTGTCAAAGGCCAGCAGAGAGCCTGGATGTTGGGAAAAGAAGGTGTCAGAGTCCAGTCAAAGACCAGGTCAGAAGTGAGGGAAGAAATGGGAGACCAGCAGAAATACAGGGAATATGGAAGGTGTCAGAGTCCAACAGCAGACGTCATTGGAGAAGGAAAGTCTGGGAGTAAAGCAGGAGCTTGGTTAGAGTTTATGGAAAGTAGGGGAGGCAAGCAAAAAACCAAGTCAGAGAATACAGAAGGTGTAGGAGGCCAGCAATTGGCCTGGTTGGAAGAGCTACAAAGTGTGGGAGTGAATCACTCATCCTTGGGAGGAAACTAAAGGCTTACTCAGGCAGACAGAAGGTGTGGGGTACAAGCAGAGAGATCCATTGCATAGACATGGTGTGAAAGTTGAGCAGAATGCCAAGGTAGAGGACAGGAAGGGTGTTGGAGCAAAGCTGAAGGCAAGTTAAATGGATACAGAAGGTGTTGCAGGCCACTCGACTGCAATGTTGGAGGGTACAAAAAGAGTGGGTGTCTTGCAGAAGTCTCAATTGACTGAGGCAGAATCCATCATAGCTGAGAAGAAAATTGGGTGGGAGTAGATGGAAGCTGTGGGAGCAGAGCAGAAGAGCAGTTGGGAGCACACACAAGTTGTAGGAGAACCGAAGACCAAGTCATATGAGTTGGAAGGTGAGGGAGGCTATTGGAAGACTTAGTCAAGGCAGAGAGAAGGTGTGGTGTGTGGGGGGAGCAGAAAGCTGGGTTGGGGCAGAAGAAAGATCTCGAATGTCAGAAACAGACCAGGTGGCAGCAGATGGAAGGTGTGGGGGATGCACAAAAGACAATGTCAGGGGGTATGCATGGTGCCAGAGGACAGCACAGGGCCTGGATGGTGAAAAAGGAAGATGTCACAGCCCAGCTGAAGGTTCGTTTATGGTAGAGGGAAGAAGCGGGAACACAAAAGATGACCCGGGCAAAGGGTATGGAAGGTGTTGAAAGACAGCAGCTGGCCTGGTTGGAGGAGAAGAAAAGTGTGGGAATCAAGCAAAAGCAAGGATGGAGATTATGGTCCAGTTGGAGTGAAGTAGAACGCCTGTGAAGGCAGATGGAAGCTGCAGTAGGTAAGCAGAAAGCCTGGTGAAGGGACACTGGACAGTTTGGGAGGCCAGAAGACCACCTGGTTGTATGAGAGGGAAAGTGTGGGAGTCAAGCAGGAGGCTCCCTATGCAGAGACAGAAGGTGTGGGATCTGAGCAGAAGACCCGGTCAAGGCAGACGGAAGCAGTGTGAGCCTTGTAGAAGGACTGGTCTGGTCAGAGAGAAGGAGTGGGAGGACAGCTAAGGAGACAGAACCTGTAAGAGATGGAGAGAGGACCAGGTCTTCTGTTCACCTCCCACACCTTCCCTCTGCCTGGGCCAGCCTTCTGGTAGCCTCCTACTCCTTCCATCTAACCCCAACAGGTCTTCTACTCAGGTCACACACCTTACCCTTGCCCTAACAAGGCCCTCTGCTCCCCTCCCACACCTGGAGCAGTCTCTGTTCACCTCTTGCACCTTCAATCTGCTCTTACATGGTCTTCTGCTTGGCTCCCTCTTGATATTTCTCCAACTAAGCAGCCTCCTGCAGGACTCCCACACTTTCTGTCTCCTCTCATCTTGACTCCTGATTGGTTCTGAAACCTTTACTATCCTGTGAACAAACCTACTTCTCACCTCCTACTACTTTCTGCCCCAGGCAGTCCTTTTGCTTACTTCCTAAAGCTTCTGTGCCCTCTGAGTAGGATACCTCATAGACTCCCACACATTTTGTCTCCTCATGATGGGCCAAATGTTGACCAGGGACACATTCTGTATCCCCTGACCTGGTCTTTTGTACAACTCCCACACCTTCCATCTGGTGCAAAATGTCCCCTGCTCATCTCTCACATGTTACTTGTACCCTGACTGGGTCTTCTGCTGTCCTGCACCTTCCCTCTGCCAGGAACCAACCTTGTGCTCATAGCCAAAACCTTCACTCTGACGAGATTAGCCCTAGTGCTCACCTCCCACTCCTTCCCTCTGTCCTGAATGGGTCCTCTGCTGGGCTCCAACATATTCTTTCTCCACCTAGTGAGCCTCCTGCTTAATTCCCAAACTTTCTGTCACACACAACCAGGCTATTGCTGACCTCTGACACCTTCTATCTGCCTTCACTGGGCTTACTGCTCTACTCCAACACCTTATGTCTCCTCACACTGCACTCCTGATTGACTCCCACACTTTTCTTCTACTCTAACCAAGCCAATCTATGTCCATGGACACCCTCCATTCCCTTTCATCAGAACTTCTTCTGGGCTCCCATTTCTTCCCTCTGCCTTGACCAGGCCTTCTGTTGGGCCCTATCACCTTTTTTTCAACATCCAGGCCATGTAGTGACCCAGGACAACTTCCATATTTTCTGATACTGTCTTTTTGTGTCCCCAACACCTTCAACCTGCTGAAACCTGGTCTTCTTCTGGCCTCTTACATCTTCTGTCTGCCCCAGCCAGGTCTTCTGCTCCTTCTCACAGCACATCTCTCTGCCCTGAACAGGTGTTTCCCTAGTCTCCCACAAATCCCTTCTCACGTGACCTGGTCTTCTACTTGCCTCCCACACCTTCTATCTGCTCTGACCTGGTTTTCTGTTTGGTTCCTTTACGTTCTTTTTCCTCCCAGTGAGCTTCCTGCATGATTCCCACACACTCTTTCTCCTTCACCCTGGCAGTCTGCTGGCCTGCAAGACCTTCTGTATCCACTGATCTTGCCTTTGGCTTGCCTTCGACACACCTCCAGCCCTTCGACCTTGTCTTCTTCTCAGCTCCCACACCATGATTCTGCAATGGAATTGTTTGTTTGTGTCTCACACCTTCTGCTCACCTCCCAAACTCTCTGTCTCCTCCCACTAAGAGGCCTCATTGACTGTCAACGCCCCCCTTCACACCACACTTTTTGCCTAATGCACCAGGTCTCCTGCTAGCCTCTTGTCCAGTCGTGATGTTGAAGGAGAGGAGAAGGTTTTGTGGAAGCAAAAGGAAGTTGTGGTGGGAGAGAAGAAGGCCATGTCAGATCAGAGGGAAGGAGTGAGAAGCAAGCAGAAGGCCGGATGTTGTCTACAGGAAGCTCTTGCAAGGCAGCAGCAGTCAGAGTCAGGGTGGTGTGAAGGCATGGAAGATGAGTAGAGGACAAGGTTGCTGCAGATGGAAGGTGTGGGACATGCAATGAAACCAGGTAATAGGATACAGAAAGTGTGGGATATGGCCTGGTTTGTGGAGACAGAAAGTGTGGGAGTCAGGAGGCATCTCAGTCAGAGAAGACAGAAGGTTTGGGAGGCCAGCAGAAGGCTTGGCTAAGGAATACAGAAGGTGTGGGATGCAAGCTGAAGCTTCTGTCACACAGGCATAGTGAGGGAGGTTAGCAGAAATCCCAATCAGAGGGCTGGATGGGTTTGAGGGTCAAGCTGGAGGCAAGATCAGTGGATACAGAAGCTGCTGTAGGCTATCAGACTTCTAGGATAAAGGAGATAAAAAGTTGGGAGTCTTGTAGGCAGAGACTGAATGTGAACTAGCCAAGAGAAGACCAGGTCAGAGCGAATAGAAGACGTGGGAGGTGAGCAGAAATGCTGGTCGAGGTGTGGGAGTTGAGCAGATGGCCATGTAGGAGGATAGAAGCTTGTGTTGGCCAAGCAGGAGGCAACATGAATGTATACTCAGGATGTTGCCAGCCAGCCGACTGCTGGGTTGGAGGAG